ACCAAATCACAGCTTTAGCTATCATAGTAAGAGGGAAAATGTCGTTGTTATTCTAGAATACAGTATGGTTACCAAAATCTGGCTTGTAATAAACCCCTCAGCTTCTCAAAACCACACGAGTGTATCTGTCTGATTATGAAACACCAAATTATATGCACCCGCCATGCTACACAATAAATGCAGTAAAATGTAGTAAAATATTTTACAAAAACTTTATGCACTCTGAGGTCACATCAAATTGATCAGTGATTCAATCACAAAAGCACTACCTTGAAACAACGCAAAATATGCTGTTTGCTATACTGCTGCTTGATCTAATTCCCTACAGTAAAATTTCTAACAGTATCTAACTAACTAGATTAGAACTAACACCACACTGAAATGAAATATACCTAAATTACTAAAATTTTGTTCTTTTTCTTTTACTTTGGATGAAACCAACTGTTGATAGCCACTGTCACAACAACTTTCTTCGGGCTACTTTACAGCAAACATAGTCTTTCTGTTAAAAACAAACTTTTCAAGGCCACAAAGGAAGCTTATGTTTAAGAAAGATAAGAAATCATGCTCTTATCTCTCATCCTTTTGTTCCAACCATCATGCCACTCTTTCTCTCACATAAGCTGGTTATTCCCTGCATTTAGGGCATATGGACCTACATCATGGCCATAAAGTGATTTTCTTGCTGGGAGCTAAGAGTATAGGGAATCAAGGATTTGATTTATTTGAGACTTAGCAATAAACCTCTGCCACTATTTTGTATTTCATTCACCATTTACCCAGGTATTTTTTGTCTAACAAGACCTTTATCAGGCACCTCCTGATTTTCTAATTTACCCTGAAATTGTGCTTACATCCTCACAGACTGTTCTAGAAATTGTGGCACCATGGACACAGCATTACCTCACTTCAGATTTAAAGAAGATGAACAGACAGAGTGTGAGAAAATTAAGTTTTTAAATGTTTTAAATTTGAATTTAAAAGAAAACACTGAATGAAAAAATGAAAAAAAAAAAAAAACTCAATATATTAATTAATTTTCCAAGTGGCTTTTTTAACACTTTTTCCCACAGGAATGTCAAATACTTCTCTCTCTCATAACTTTTTACATTTCTGTTTTGCTAAGCAAAAGACTAAACTCCCTCAGTTGTATGTAAGAGAACTAGTTTGATCCTGAAGGCTGAAATGGTACTGTTAATAGGAATAACAGAATCTGTATATCTATACCACCTTAATGTGGAGACTGTTCTTCAAACGTAAGTAGTTTCAGGAGCTGCAGAACCCATGCCTGAACTCCTTTTCTGGGACATGTGTTTGCAAGTGCTGACCAAGTCATACACAGTAGTTGAGATATTCATTATATGTGGATTCAATGTGAAGTAGTATCACAGATGAATTTCTTCAGTATAGATACGAATTTATCTCTACCTGGCTAGGTATTTTCACCACACACAATGGCTGACATATCTACCCTTCTGTCAGAGTTAATGCTCAAAAATGTGAGAAGTCTCTCCAAGAATTATGGAGGAAAAACGAAAAAACCCCTTAAAATTAAAGCAGAGGAACAGAAATTTAGGACCAAAAATATATGCACAGAAACGTCTTTGATTCCATGGAATAACTCTAAACTAAAGTACCCTTTTTCTAGTCTTCCAGGACATAGATGTAGTACAGACTTTCTGGACTTCAGCTATTTTAGACACACTTCAAAGAAGTTCCAGTTTCTCTAGAGAATCATGCAAGCAGCTTGTGCTAATTACAGAGAGCCAGTTGACAACACAGTCACTTGCTCTACGGAAACACATGCATTAAAGAATTAAGAAAACATAAATTAAACCAAAATATTGCAACATCATCCATTCAATTAAAAATTAACAACACAAGATTCGGATACTGCAGGAGACAACATTATGACTGCACAATGCATGAAAAAAAACCTGGTGCCCAGTTGTATCCCTAACTTCTTTCAATTCTAATACTCCTAACAGACCTAGCCAGCCTCACACACGTGTTCCTTGTTATGTCCATTTGCTTTTCAGTTCCTTTCCCACACATCAAGCCAGACTGTGAGCCTCAGGAGGGAGTTAGCTACTCCTCCAAGCTGCTATGAGTCATTGTGATGTCTGCTGCATAGGCCAAATTAAGCCTGAATTTCTTGCTTCCACTAGGCAACAAGAACAATGAGGAAAAACATGACAAGGAGGTGAGAAAAAGATCAAAAAGACAGGAATATATCCCCGTATTCCTCTATATCCCTACCTTCCCATCACAGTTGTCATAGTGCATGGTGATGAAGAAAGTAAATCAAAGACACAGTGCAGAACTGCAAAAAAGATTACTGTATTCCAACTTTCAAGTTTTCAGTCATACTTAAATCCTATTTTATCATGACAAATGAAAAAAACAAACATGCTACCTCATAATATATATATATATATATATATATATATATATATTCATGTACCATGTTAGAAGCACAAAGACAAATGTTGACAAATTTATCTTTGGATATGAACATATATTTTGTCTAAGCCTAAAATAAAGTTGTGCTAAATGAATACTTACCTAATAATTCATCCTCTTATTATTGTTTTTATATACATTCCTATTGTTTTGGTAGATGAAACCCTTAATCACTGAAATTTAAACACTAACAGAAATTATTGACTGAAAGTTAATAAAACAAACCACTTTAGCATTTTTTAATATATGGATACAGCAATATCAGTAGAGGAAGACTAGAATCACAAACATCCCTGCCACACACAATTTTTGAACTCTATTCTGAGATCAAGAATTTTCTTAGTAGTCAGGACAAGACTACTGGTTTAGATGAGTCAATTTAAATAATGCAGATGATTAACCTGCATTATAGCTTATTTTTAAGAAGCCCACTTCTTAAAGGGGGGTCAAGAAACTTCTAAGGTGTTGGTGGCTGGAAGGGAATTTTGGATGTGGAGGGGCATGAGGGGAAATGCCAGTATACACATGCACTTTGAAGGTACCTACTACTGTCAGAGAGAAGATTGTGAATTTAGAAGTTTTGATGTATTGCCACGTTCATATTCATAAAAAAACCCACAAACCCCAGCAATAAGACCAACACTGAATATGAACCATACTCCTATAACTGTATCATCACAACTCATGAACAGCACCTCGCTTCACCTGTAGGAGACTCTATAATTTCATTTCTGTGCACAATGCTTTAGAACAAGTCCTCAGAACAGCCAATCTAAGTGATCCATCATGTGCAACTCACAACGGCTTTCTGGGCATCCCTGAGCAGCTGAAAGAAACCAACCTGCCAATCTCTGCAGCACACCTATAACTTTACTGCAGACTTAACCTAGCCTTAACATGCAAACATAGTCTTTGCCTATTTCCTTCAAAAGCACTGCTTCCACCTCATCCCAGCTGAATCACCAGCGGTTTGTTTTCATTCAAATCCCTCTGCCAGACGCTGGAGCAACTAATGAACTGCAGAATCTGGTCTTTAAAAATTTGACTTAGCAAACAAACCATCAACATGTTGATGACACTACCACCCAAAATATCACAGTAACAAGAGTAACAATTTACATGGGCTCTAAGCCAGTCTGTCTTTCCTATTCAAATTTCAAGAAAGCATGACCTAATTCCTCTACAAGTAGTAGAATCTGGAGCTTTTGTTAATTCAGTTTTCTTTCTTTATTTAAGCATATGTTTCACCACAGATGATTACAGTCATTAGAAGGAAAAATATTTGTTTGGGTAAAATTAAATATAGCAAGCATATAGCCTATAATAAAAATCTAAGAGTAACACCAACTTGCCAACAGCTGAATACCTGTCCTGGTCATCTAAGTAAGACTCCCAGATTCAGACCAATCAGATGAACCATAAATTCAATTTTATATATTTAATTCAATTCTGTATATTAGAACCACGTTGTTTCCCTCAAGCCAAGTTTTCTCAATCTTCCAACAACTTGAACACTTCCAGTATTATTCCCACGTTACAAAAAAATAAATATTAATGCAGAAAAAACCGAAAAAAGAGGGAGAGTGACTAAACAACAAAAAGCAGTAGATAGAACATATAGGAGTACTGTTTCTCAAATACAAGGTCAGATGGATATCCACTGGAATTAGAAAGAACCACACAGCATTACCCTGAACAATTTCTCACAGCAAAGTAGTATAAAAACTTTTTTTATAGTTCCACTTAATGCTTTCTAGGTGGTATTTTCTAAAATCTCCAGGTACCTGAAGAAGAGATGGCCTATTGTCTTTCACTTTAATATTTCAGAGTAGTCCTCAGTTTATGATTAATTTCTGAATATAAAGGACTTCCTATTTTACATTCAAGAATATAAATTTGAACCAGAGTTGTGGTGGCTAAAATAATCACTTTCTCCCTTATAAGTATGTTATGTAAATATCTAAATAACAAAAAAAAAACCCCAAGAAATAGTTTTCGGTGGAAAGTTTATCTGATAATTAGCATTGCACTTTGGACATACCCTTTCATGCACTTGCATAGGACAATATGTGTGGATAGCTATAGAAGAGGCCTGACTGGATATGAGCATTCCTCTATTCATACACATGTTGCAATAATGGTGTTGTTTTCATTCTGGACAGTACCTGAAGAAGCCAGACCAGAATTCAGCAGGGGGCTGCTCCCTGCACCCAGGCATCAGAAAAGACAGTCACTCAACTACTATCACCAATCTGTCACTCATTTGAACAAAATACCATTGGAAATGGATAACCTAATTTATCAAGAAAACCCACTTCTTTCCTCATGACTTTGTACAGGCAATTTTCTACAATATTTAGTCATTAACATTTAAAAATCAGATGCAGAATTAACAAATAGCAGTAAACCACACATACAAAACATAAGGTCTGTTTCTCCAGATAAGAAAATACTGTGACTTATCACCATCTCTGTATAAAACAAGATTAAAAATGTCAGAAACTAATTTCTGCAAATGCTTCACCTCTTTGTTTTACCTGCTTCTGTGTACTTCAATCCTACTTTTACTTCTTCATGATTTGCTTTTGGTGGCGGCCAGACAGTCTGGAGTCTCCCTGGAGTCTTGTCATCTTGCTCTGAGGGACTGAGGTCAGGCTGTTAAAATTACACAAGAAAAAAATTGAAGTCTGCAGTATCAATTGATTCCAAATGGCAACTGCCATGCTCAGCTCTACACATGTGCTCCAGAATGACTATCTGTCTCATTCTACTGATTGATACAGTGCTCAGCTGGTTGGAGGCGACACAAATAAATCAGTGTAGAAAAATATTTTTGAGGAGGAAAGTAGCATAACGCATGTGACATGCAGTGATTTGTTGAAACTGTTCACATCACTTTGCAGACCTGTCTGAACCACAGAGGTGGTCACGAATGCTAGGGCTTTTCCCTGTATCTTTCTTCCAGAGTGAAATATTCCATAGTGTGCTCCTCTTACAAGTAAACATTAGAGCAATTCACCTAAGACATCATTTGACAATATAATTTTCTGGAAGCAGAGCTAGTTCATGAAATTCCTGCCCCACCCCCTGCAGATTGCTCAGTCCACATACCAGGTAATACTGCCACATCAAAGTAATGCTGCAGCTGTTAATGGGACTGCACTGTCAACTGGAATGCTAAAATAACTCTTTAAATGGGGAAGGGGTGGAGGGGGAATGACCCACTAAACAAGCATTCTTTTAGAGGGATTTTTTTTGGTGGATTTTTATATCTCCAATATTTCTGTAATCTGATTTTCAACATGTTACTACAAGTAACTGCATAGACGCAACTGCAACAACAGTGAAACCCTGTACGAAAATGGCCCCATAAACGGCCCACAGGAGCAAGGGAAAGGGATGGCTAGACCCTTGGGCTCGGGCTTTGCCCTGAGAAAATACAGATTTGCACTGGAGCGGACATTAAGCAGACATTTATAAAAGCCACTTCTGCTGACTCCTGTGCCTCCTCCCTCGCTGTGCGTGATGACAGCTTCCCAAATAGGTTTGCTGAGAGCCACAGGAACGCTGACGCCAGCACAGCGACTGGTGTAAGCAGGAAGGAGCAAGCCAGGGATGGGAAGGGCACACTCAGACTGCACTTGCTGTACATTCCACAGCCAATGAATACCTGTTTTCTCCTCCCCATAGGTCATTTACTACAAACTGGTATTATCAGTCTACCCAAGTGTTGACCAGGATTTTTTTACATGTTTTCTTTTAATATTATGTAAGAATAAAAATTTGAAAGAGAGTACAACCAACACAGAAAATTAGCTTAAGTAGCTTCAGGTTTAAGGTCCAATCCTGAAAGTGGAATCCTTCAAGTAATTGCCCTTTCAGCCAACAATAGTCTCTTGGGCTGATTACATCTGCCAAAGATGTGGCTGTAAGAATTTTGGGTTGGGGGAATGCCAACCCAAAGGTTACTCATTTAATTAAAGAGTTCAAATCATATTCAAAGTCATTTATGAATGTATGAAAACTTTGCATTGCTTTTTTTTTTAAATATAATAACTACATCTCCATATGCCTAAGAGCATTAACCTTGCAAACACTTACATTAATCAAAAACTTGAGTTGTCTAATTGAAATCACTAAGTCACACCGGGATAAGGTTAAATGCTTATCAATATTTGAAAAGCCAGATATATGCATGTAAACAAGAAAATAAAACCTCCTGTTCTAGGTCTTGAGCTGAAAATCACCCATAATTTCTTAAAACAACTCCTATCATACAATTATTCCTACAGGTAAAATGAAACACTACTTATAAAAATAAAATACTCAATGAAAGAAAACAGAGTGAGATTCAGAAACTGTTAAATAATATTACAGTAAATATCTGCAGCATCAAACTGATTTAAAGCCATAATTAACATATGGAGAACTGTTATGTGGAGATCTTTTAATATCAGAAACTGACTGCTAAGTTCTCACTTCTAATTGAGAGGCTTTTACTGTTGCCATCAGTTGTGGCCGAATTCTGCTTCAACTGCAGATGATCAAATATTCTGACAAATTAGCCTCAAGATTTCCTTGACTGAGAATCTAAAATTTGAGATTTCCAAAAGAGAAGCAATTGTGACATTTTGATCTCAAGTCCCCACCAAAAATATTTAAACAAGAAATTATTTTTTTAATCCTTCTACTTCCAGACCTTAGGAAGAAAAAGTAATTCAACCTACAGATTTGTCTGATGCTCCATCCCCAGGTTTTGATTTTGACCTTTCAAATACAGCTTTCAAGGACTCTTTTTCATTTCTCATTTTGCGTTTCAGGGCTTCCAGCTCTGAAGTATCTGCAGTTGTTTCTTTCTTGGGAGGTCGCGTGAATAAGGCTTTAAAGGCATCCAGTGCAGATTCAGCAGGGCTTGATTTTATCTCCTCAGAGGGAAATCGTGGTTCTCTTTTGCTGGAGGCTTTGTTCTCTTGAGCTTCATCGCTGTCCACAGTCTCACTAGATCCCTCACCAGAGTCCTCAGTTCTATCTTCATTCTTGGAGACGTCTATGTTTAACAAGTGTGAGAGTTGTTCTAGGAAAGTGGGATTTGCTTTAGGTTCAGATGATTTTTTTTTAATGGTGAAACCTGATGCAATACTGGATTTCTTAACAGGCTGTCGTAATTTAAGCAGAGCTAAATCATTCTCCCTTGGTTTAATTTCTGTAACAGTTTCCCCATCTTCTGTGGTTAGTCCCTTTTTCCTGACACGTAGTCCACTGAAGAAAGCAGGCAGCTGGAAAGTCTTTTCAGCCAGTGCTGTTTTTTGGAGTGATATATTATCAACGGAAGGTCTTTGTTCTTCATCTGAAAGTTCTTGAGGGCATTCCCCTGTAGCAAGCAAATGAGTGAATTGCTCATCCATTAACATTCTGTCTTTTCCATTGGAGTCATACTGTAGAATACCATCCAGCTCTTTTGGGAGCTGCTTAGAGAATGGTGGGTGTAACTCAATGTCATCTGTATCCACAGTGTCATCACTGTTGCTGTACCCTTCTGATTCTGACTCTTCCTTATGTAGATTGCTGTTGTCCAAGGCCTCAGCAGACAAAGCAGCATTTTTTAGCCCATATTTGCTTGCATTGTTCTCATCGGTGTCTAGGTCCTTATTCTCCGTGTCCGATTCTGTGTCACTTGTTGTATGAACCAAAGTACCTTGCACAAGAATAGCATCCTTGTCATCACTGTCAGATTCAGACAAAGAAGTCTGAACAAACCCCAAATGCTGAAGAAGTAATTCATTTTGGTCAGCTAACTCCAGCTCCAGGCCTGCTTGCCTGTCAGACATTGGGTCAGCTTGGCCACTGGTACTATCCACGCTGTGCTGATTTTCTGAGTCCTCATTATATCCATTATCATTCCTCTCATGCCAGGTGTTAGCGTGAGTATTTATATTGCTGTGCAAAGGCTGAAATTGTTTAAGCAGTGTTTCTTCCTTGGGAGCTGCAGATTCAAGCTTAGCTGTAAATCCAAACAGCGTTTTCACAGAAAATGTAGTGAGTGGGTCAGAGTCGCTTTCTGCTGTGTTCTTCAGGTCTAAAAGCTGACTACAGTCAGGCATCCCATTATGTTCTTCCATGTTGCGTGAAGTAGAGAATAGGTTGGCTCGCAGCAGTGCTGCTGCCTGCTGAGCCAACACTTGCTGCGCGCATTCAGGCTGCCGGCGGGGCCGGCTGCCGGCGCTGCAACAGGCGGCCCAGCCCGGCCCGGCCCGGCCCGGCCCGCGCAGGCCGCCGGCCCCCCGCGCTCCCGGCCGGGCCGCCCCGCCGCTCCTTCCGCCCCGGCCGTCGGGGCTCCCGCTCCGCCAAGGGAGCAGCAGCAGGACCCACCGTAAAAAACAGTTCTCGGCAGCGTCTGGAACTTGTTCCCTCGCACAAGAGGGCTTTGTCACAGCACTAACCTCGGCTGAAGCCCGGCCGGTGGTCCCCCCGGGGCTCCGCACCCCGACGGGCTGCGCGCCCCCGGCTCCCGGCGCGCCGAGCCCTCAGCGCCCGGCAGCTACAGCAGCCGTCCCGCCGGGCCCAGCGCGCCGCGGCTGCTCCCTACTTCCTTGTCCCGGTGCGCCAGCGCTGGGTGGTTTTCAACAGAAAATTCCTGACGGATTCCTTTGCATAGTCTTTCCACTAGGATAAAGAACTTCTTTTGTAAATCCATAATCACCAAAAAATGTCAAATGGAAACCCGAGCTAACGACTCTGAAGCTTCCTTTGCCCCCTCCTGAAGCACTTGGAGAGCCCCCAGTGCCCGGCCGGGCAGAGGCAACTCGGGTGAGCGCCCTTGAAGCAGAGGAAAGTAGGAAAAAAAGAGACTCTCTTCCGATTTGCTGGAGGTTTCATCTGGAATGCAGATTTCAGCCTCCAGGGCCATGAACAAAAACCAACGAGACTGGTTTCATATTACCACTGTCCTTGCCCTGCACAGCTCCTGCTGAGAGGTGCAGGCAGGTACTTATCACAGAGTGCGGCCGCGCCCAGGGACCGGGAGCGCTGCGCGGCGCGAGAGCGGCCAGCGCCCGGGAGGGCCAAATTAACTGTTTAGGAATCGGACAGCCTTGTCCATCCACGGCACCAGCCTTGGACGGGTCCGAACCAGAACAATCTCTGCTGACATATTCTGTGATGATTTTCACAGACTTTACTGCTGTATGCGTGAGATCTGTTTAGTTGAAACGAACAAGAACACTTGAAATGTACAAAACTGTCTAACTCAACGTTAACAGAAACTACAGGGATACTATGTATTTTTTTTTTATCAGTACAGACGGAGAAAGCGCAAAATACTCTTAAGCACTCTTGATATTCAGAAGTCAGTAACATTTGGAGCAGGTTTCCATCACAAGCCTCCACTTTCGCTACTTTTTTTTTTATTTACCCAAGTTAAAGGGTCACTCTACAGTCATCCATTTAGCTGTGATGAGTAATCTTAAGCAAGCAACATGGGGAAAGCTATCCTTCACAGGGAAATCAGCTGCAGATCACACTGCTGTATGTGTTTACCAAAAAACATTTTCTGAAAAGCTGAGTATTACAGCCAACAAGCAACAACAAAGTATCGCAACACATTTAGCTTTTGGTTTAATGTTTAAAAATGTAGACTGTACAAAACCCATTTGTTTGTCAACAGCAAAAGCAAAAGCCATTGGTATCTCCTGCAGGAACAAAGTTTTCTGAAAATCAGATTGTAATACTAAGGGCTTGGATGAAGCTTACAGACACCTTTTCAATTACAGGGTTGCATGCATACCTATAGACAAAGGGCAATGGAATCATTCCCATCTTTATCTGTGATTTCACAGGGAGCAATGTCTTCTGCCCTGCTGCCTGGCATTTCCTTAGCAAGCTCTGGACTTGCTTCTCCGCTATGATTAATCATCGGGTGCCAAGGTCAGAAACAACTGACAGGTTCCCCTGGTTTCTATGTTTAATATCACAAAAGGAAGCTCTATGTAAAGAAAGAGACACAGAGTCCTTACCACCCGCTATGCCAACTTATTCTTAAAATTCCAGGACTTATAAACAGGTGGAAGGAAGCTACCACAACACTGGTGACTTCCCCCAAGACAAAATTCCTTCAAGGCAAATCTAAAGCAATTCTAAATTCCATTTTATGGCAAAACAAATGGGGCAAAGTGACAATACTGAATCAAAGTTTTCTACATTTAAATGCACGTCTGTTTTTATGTTCAGTTACATGATTAATTGTTCATTGTTCTAATAAATTGTATGGTTATGTCTTATTTATTTATGTGCGTACTTATTTGGGGTTTGATGGATAAACATTAAATCATATTTTCAAGAATAGCCTTGTTAGTCACGAAAAAGAATATACCTCTATGAACAACTTCATGATACCTTCTAAACATACTGATTCAGATTATGCCAAAATATTACTCATCTCTTTATATTAACAATAATCCATACTTAGAATAAACCTTCCCTGTAATAAAAAAGGGTCACCAAGCTGTAACAATCCTATGAATAGAAGGCTAAGGATTACAGCCGCTATTTAATTATTTAAGGATTTAATGGACTTTTGAAAAGTTTAGTTTAAAAGTGGACTTAAAGCAGGAATCTCATACTTTATGTCTAAACAACATCCCAACAAAATATAGCAGACCAGGACCAAATTAGAAGTGAAAAGAATGGTGCTTTTAGTGTAAAGCTTAAGTGATACAATATATTGAGGTGCTAGAAATCCCAGAGTTGAACAGTGAATAATTAAAATTCCAGAAGCTGAAATATACCCTATATAGCCAGAGGTAATCTCACAAGCCTGCAGAAAATACTGCTTTATATGTACCTCTTTTTGTAGTAAACTCTAGGAAGTGTGAAGGAACTTTCAAGCTTTGGAGCTGTAGGATTAACAAGAAAACTCATCTCTACATATAGGCCTGGAGAAATACTCAAAAACTGAAAGTCATTGCGATGAATGAGTCAGTCAGTCTCTGAAATTCACCACACAGTCCATAAACTCCCAGCCTAAAAATATGGCTTTTGTAGAGACCTGCTTTCTGCATTCTGATGATCAGCCCAGTGGAGAGTCCTTTGAGGGACTGAATAGCTGATAATGAAATACATATTGGTTACTTACTCAATCAAGTGTTTCAGGGTAAAATACATACATCAGTATGTGCCCTTAATATTTTTATATAAAAGAGAGGTCATCATTGTGATGTAAAATGAGATGGAGTCAGTTTGTTGGTAGAAGTGTTTTAATGCTGGGTGGATCTATCTCATAAGAAAAGTCTCTCTGAACAGGCTGCAACACTGCATCTAAAGGAACGACTTCAAAATCTTTAGAAAAAATCAGTTATAATTATGTTACAAGCCTCTTTACTTAATAAAACTGACAACTCTCTGGTGCCTCAGAAAAGCCCTTAAAACTTGTCATAGCAACTTTCAAGGCAGTCAATGCACTAATTATACAAAAGGACAACCATTCCTTACAGTTTAAAGCACATTTAACAATCCACACCCTTTTTGACCTACATTTCATCACAGACAGAAGTCACACCCACAACACACTCTAGTTCTCTTCTTGAGGTGTCTAAAAGCTCACCTGAAGTAGGTTTTAAAACTGGCTTTGAAGAAAACACACATTAAGCCAGAATAAGGTCATCTAATTTCTACCACTATCATATGGCAGGACTCAACACTTCCTGACCCCTTATCTATTCAGACTGCCTTTTCAGATCACTGTAATAAAAAACTAGATAAACATGAACAGGACAGAAAGACATTATACAAAACAGCAAGGTTGCTAAACTGAAAACAAATATTCTACTGGTTTTAAAAAATAAAGAACAACAAATCTAGAAAAGTTTGCATAAATTCTTGAAAATAATCATAGAATCAAATATACATCAATTGTGTCAGGCTTCAGAAGAGCCTCGAGAAGCAGCAGACTCTGTTTGTAGCTCAGGTGGCTTGAACAGATCTGAAGTTCAGCTGACACAGTCTGCTCTCTGCCCTGTCCTCAGCCTAACCTTTACTGTGCAGGTCGATAATGGTCTTAACATTCCCCTTCTCTCCTGTTTGTCTCTCCTGCTGATTACCTCATTTTAAACTTAGTATTTTAACCCGTTAAATGCTCTAAAATAGGAGGCAAGATAGAAGAAAACCTGTAAGGCCTTGATTTTCATCATTATTATCATCAGCCTTGTTACCTCACTTAGACCATTATGTGAGCAGCTTTCCTGAGTTTTGATGGAATTGGGTATCACCAATATAACTGCTTTAAATGTAAGTAATTAATTTAGATGTAGCAACAGAAACATAGACATGATAATTCTTGTCAGAATTCAGCAATACATGATGTTAACAGAATGTATGGACACCAGACACATTTGGTGTAGGGGTCTGTATAAACCATCTGTACAAATGCACAGTGTTTTTTAGCATTTTCATCTAAATTCTGATTGATATTGAGATAAGGACTACTTTAGAGAATTTGAAAAAGCACTGTAATACCTATACAATTATAAAATCAGAACGCACATTAAGAAACTCAGTTTACTATTCTGCAGGAGTGCATGCTGTATCAATAAATGTGTGGAATATTAACCTGTAAAGCCTATCATATGAAAAAACAGTGGTAGATCTGAGACAGAAATTCTAGAAAGATATATTGATGGGTCTGGTTAATATGAGCAGACATACAAGTAACAAAGACAGGGAACAGAAGATCACTATACACTGTGTAAGTAAGCTAAGTAAGATCTTTGTACATTAAGGCATAAAGGCTGGCACTTAGTGTTACAAAGAATGGAGATGAATTTTTAATCCTTTTCCTTTTCTAGGTTACTCTCTTTTCATCTTCTTTTCATTTCAACAGGCCTTTTGCTCCCCATCTACAATATGATATAGTAGTTTAAAGCTTAAACAAAAAGCTTTATAAAATAAAATCCACATAATTACATTAATTTACCATAATTTCTTAAGTAATTACTAACTGTTAATTGCAATTTTAGCTGCATTTTCACATCTCACTTATGTGCCTTTTTATCTGAGATGAAATACTGTATAAAAAATAGGGTGGAGTTTCATTTCTATTTTGTTTCATTACCATCCATATCTCTGT